CAAACCCTTCATAAACAAACTGCCATTGTGGTCAGTGCCATCTGGCTGGCTTAAGATATTTTTCTTGACTTTCAATATCTTTATTTAATCACTTAATATTATTTTTTCAAAAAATAAAGATGAAATAACTAAATTCTTCTATAGCACCATTTATCTGATTTCTCCAGAAGTTTGTGTCCTTTTGCAATTCTTAATTTTTTATTGTTATTGTTATTCTATTATGTTCATAGTATGTTAAGTCAGGTACACATGTACCCTCTTTAATACATAATATATGTAAAGTCCAAAGCATCAGTGTCCATTCTGAATTTCCAGAAACTGTGTGTACATTTGCTCAAATGGGCACCAAGAACAAAACAGAAATACAGAATAGAATGAAAGCTTCATGAAAGAAAGGGATTCAGCCAACACTTCCCCTTACCATTAAAGAGAATTCATATACCACAGAAACTTTTTATCACCTTTAACTCCTAGTTCTGTTAGGAAGTTTTCCCATACTTTACTTTCAAAAAGTTTTCCCTATTACTTGGTGCTTTGGTTCACTGAACGATTCAGAGGGTTTTATGATTTCTTTACAGAATTATCGAATCTTTTGAATCTAGAATAGAAGATGAACTCTGAAGGGTACAGAAGATGAACTCTGAAGGGTATAAGAATATTAAGAATTGTGTAAGGATATACATGCAAGATTTATAACTGCCAATCAATTGCTACTGGAAGCCACATACCACAAAAGCTAGTGAAAGAAGCATCATCTTATCCTAGAAGGAAGTCGTCTATGTGTTCCTTACTCATTTGTAGAATACCAGTTGCACCAGTTACATTGGCAAGTCATTTGGTTATTGCTATCCGACCAAACCTACTCCACAAGAATAAGTTGGAATATTTCACATAAACAGAGCATAGCTACTGCAGAGATTGTCATCACATCCTTCACTCACCTTGCTTTTCATTTTTTTTTGTTGCAATTATTAACTAAATGAGTTAGGAAAAAGTTACCACCCTCATTAGATACTTAAATTGTAAAGCAAAATATATGGAATAGAAAAGGGCACTTGTTCATGTCAGACAACCGTGATGATAAACTGTGATATCATTACTAGAGGAATGAGGTCGTCCAATGCAGACATTGTGCACAGATGCTAAGCTGTTAGTAAAGTGCTGCTTATAAGACATCTCTGCTTCTCGAGACCTGAATCTGCAAATGTTGAATGCTGTACCTTACAGGAACCAACAGTTTCTTGGCACAGAACGTAAAAGTTTCATGGGTCAGGGTGTTGATGACATTGTACACGCAGTACCTGAATTTAAACTTTAGGAGCTCAATATATATATCAACCATTTTCCTCCTCAACTGATGCCTTTTCTTTCTTCATTCATGGGGAATTTTCCAAATCTGGATTGTGATCACAGAGCAATTGAGCGTTCTATCGAAGGAGCTTTCTGCATCTGCTTTACTGAGCCAGGGAGGGAAGGTGTTGACATGAATGAAAAAGTGGATCAAATAGGCAGGAAAGTGATGGGCATTGCAATTAATTGAACCACTTTTGCTAAGTGACATAAAAATATTCTAATATTAAGGATTATTTTACAACTCTATGGAAGTAATGCAGTGATACATCTTGCATTTGTTTTGTCTCGATGACAAAATGCACTCTTAGAATCACAAGAGCCTGCCTTGTGTTAGTTATAAACAAAAATATATTTATATATATATTTATGTAACTACTATGTGCTTTAAAGAAAATTACTGTATGATTCAGCAGGGTTCTTTCATTTTTTTTTTTTATCGCCATGCTGACTTGAATGGCTTCTTAGACAGGAATTGACAATGAAATGGGTCTTTAGCACTGAGATAGCATAAAAAAAAAGGTTAAAAATCCCTTAACATTTTTGTTTCAAAAATGATTAAGGAACTCTTCATACTGATTCCTTTTGTTTCCGTCAGCCAAGAACAAGTGTGGCTTCATGGGACTTCACAGTTGGGAAGTGGAGGCAATGCTTCTTTAAACAAATCGGATGTTTTATTCTGAGGCAGGAGAATGGAAAGCCTCATTGGCCACTCCCTCTTCCCTAATCGTTAGTTAAAAGTTTGGAAATTTCAGAAATTTCCAAATGCTTATATAAAGGGCATTCATTATCAAGGAAGAGGCAGACATAGTTGGAACCTCCTGTATAGATAAAAGATTCATCCTGTAAAGTAATGCAACTTGTTGATACAGATGGATCTAGACCAGAAAAACAGAGTCCTTTCGCCACACATCTGTTTGGAAAAGATAGAAAATCTCTTATTTTGTGTTTGTTTTTACTCCTGCATGAGTGGTTTTTCTCAGCCGTCTTGAAACATTCCTCATTGCTCTTTTGAGTGAAAGAGTTCAGGCTTTGGAGCACAGTTAGCTTTGAGACATCAGAGAAGAACATTTGAACCAAAGGTATAGATCCCTCATGAACTAAAGCTTTATTATTATTTTTTCTCAATCCCTTTGCAACCCTGCACCTAAGCCAAAAGCATTATAATCTTGTCATACTTCAGGTAAGTCCACAGGAGATGGTCCAAGTGAACTATAGATATCATTCCACTAGGGAATTCTATGTTCAGTGTAAATGGTATCTTGTATAAGTTTTTTCTTTTACCCTTCTTGGGCTGGGCTTGTCCAGAAATCTTGTCTCCATCAGGCTACAGCAGCTTAGGGCTCCTTTGTGTGTATGTGTTTGTTTGTTTGTCTTAAAGGTATAGGCAAAATTTTAGTTTTAACACCTGTAAACCAGTACTGGTGCTGTTCTGTCCTAGAAATTTTAGCACTGCTCTGATACAATAAAACCTTCTTTCTCTCCAACTGGTTCAACTTCAGCGTAGGCAGGATGTCCAGAACCTCTTCGAAACTTCATTGCAGGCCATCTGCTTGGGCGTCTCTAAAACAGGAAATGCAAAAAAAAAAAAAACAGTAACACATTAAATTTTTTTCTTACTATGGCCACAGTCAGAATTAAGTGTACCCCTTATAAGCCTTCAAAGCCCTGTACTTGCGTCTCTACTATGACACTATCAACCTCTGCCAGGTGATAGTCCATTTGCCACACATGTCCCCAGAGGATTGAGAGCTTCTCACAGGCAAGGTTTAATGCCTTATGCAGATTTATGTCTGAAAAATGCCCAAATACAACTAGGCAAAAAAGACCTGAATTAGAAAACAAATATTTTAAATATTTAGCCATTGAAACTCTCTTCTCTAGATGTCCATATTGATGTCACTTCATTTTATTTATTAGTTCATTCAAAAACTAAGGCTATGAAATTCTGCACAGTTTCTAGAAGTGTGCTTCTAATCAGGTGCTAGACTTCCTGGCAAATAGTCTAAAAAAACTATCACTGAATGTCTTAAATTATTTATTAAGCTAAGCATTCTCATATATGACTTAACTTTTTTGCTTGAAAATTAAAGATATCATACTCTGAAAAGTAGAGTCCATCATTACAGGGTACGGACAATCTCGAGCCTATGAAATAAATATTGTGTGCAGTGGATGCTAGTTCTAAAATACAGGTTGTTTGTTATTGACAAAAAACAAACAAAAAAAGAGCATTTCTTTCCAGTACTTCGTCCATCAAACAAACCTTCTGTGATTTACAAATAGATATGCTGAAATGAATTATTAAGTTACAGCTGCAGAAGACACCAAAATGAATTTCATAGCCACAGTGACACCAGAAACTATTATGTCATTTATCAAAGTGCCTGAAATTTTGGGGTAAATAAGACAATAAATATTGAAGGAAGCTTATTTTTATCTAAAGATTTTTAATGCGAGAAAAGGTTGAATATCAGCCTACATATACTGGCATTTTGTATCTTTCGAGATTTGCCAATTACATGCCAGTGTCAATGATTAATGGTTGTGAAAGAACTTTTTCACATCAGGTAGGAATGAGTATTAGCTCTACCTACTGGAAAAATACCAATTGGGTAATTACATTGTGCCTACTAATAACATGATGCGCCGTTTCTATAACCATGATGTGGTCAGAATGCCTTAAATTTATTTGCTGATGAAGTCCCATTAAGTGAAACTGAATATTCTTATTTTCCAAAAGAAATTAAAACTAAGGAGGGCCACAAAGCAAATCAACGTGTTTGTGGTGGGACTTAGAGCATTATCAATGGAAATGTACCAAGCACCTCTAGGGAACGGGATACTATAACTCACGGTTACCCCCGTTTGGAGCGGAAAGGCCATGTGTTGCAACATCCACTATTTGTAGCCCCTGCTCTGGTTTCAGTGACTTCACAATTAGGCTTCTCCAAAGCCACAACTGCCCTGGTCAAGCAGCACCACTAAGATTTTGCCCTAAATCTTCACCTTCCCAAGGCCCACCTGGTTTATGGGTCCAACTGGCAAGTGCAGCCCTATGACCTAGCACTAATTTGCAAGCACTAATTTATAGCACATAAAAATCTTGTGCTATATATGACTTTTCATTAAAAAGGAATACAGATGACAAGCATGGTGATGAGGATGCTTGTGAAAGTTACATTTTATTAAGCTCTTAACTGTATTTCATGTTTTGTACTAGGTGGTTCACATTCGTGATCTCATCGAATATCCACAATTCAATCATTTCCATTTTTCACAAACCTGCGAAGCTAGAAAATGGCAGAGGTAAGATGTAAAATAAAACCTATCTACTTCCAAAGTTAATTTTCCCTGCTGTGGAAATCACTTCTTAAAATTCAATGGTTTCTGCATAACTCACCCAACATTTGGAAACATGGTTGTAGTTTTATTTTAGTCTTCAAAATATAACATTACTAACACCTTAAGTATTCTGTTGCTAAATTAGAATTACTAAGCTAATAATTCTGTCTTAGGTGAAAAGATTGCAGGATTATTGATAATGTGTATCATGTACATGAGCTTATCACAGAGGTCCTTGAAGCAGAAAGCACAAAAATGTTGGGAGTGAAGCTTCCTTTTTTAAGGAAATACAAACTTATTATCCAAATTAATTATATATCTTTAAAGATAATTTTTGAAATTTTTTATTACTCGATGTAGGGGAAAAAACATAGAAATACCCCAACAAGATTTAAAATCACTAGTGACCCCACCACTCACACATAATTTGGTTAAACTATCAGTGTACAACACTCAAACATTTCATTACTGAAGTAGAACAAAACAGAGTAGGTATAATCCAGCCACAAAAGTATTCAAGACTGCTATTTTATCCAGGCACAAATGAAAATTTAAACTTCCTCCAATAGTTTTTACTAGATTAAAAGAAAGGGAATTTTCCATAATAATATCTTATTAATAAACTTTATGATGAAAGCTAACAAATGTCATGCAACTAAGGTTTTAAACTTTGGGTCTTATTTTATATTATTTACAATTCCTTGACATCTCAATTTTAGACATAACAATGCCGAATAAAGACTAATGACCTCACCAAAATCCTGCTTTCTTTCTAGAATACTTTCACAATGAAACAGGCAATGCCATCCCATATCCCAAAACAATTATGTGATTGTGAATAAATCACTTGATTTCTCTGGGTCTTTGTCTCCTCATCTGTAAAATGATAGCTAATTTGTCCTCTAAAATTATAGGATCTTTATAGTTTCGTGTCTGAGACGAGTGACTTTAAAGTTGGGGAGAAGATCGTAATTAAAAAAAAAAAAATCCCTCCATGTTGAGGTTCTTCTGATCATTGTGCCTCCCACCTCCCTCCAATAACTTTTAGAATTTGTAAATTTAAATTAGGAATTCTAGTACAAATTAGTCCCACCTGAAATTGCTTTTCTATTAAAATGTCACTCTGCAGTTGTTCAGAGATTTCCTTATAAATGAAAATAATGGGGCAATTCTATGACTTTAACAGAATGAATGAACATTTACTGCTCATAGAAAAATCCTTAATGTCAATGCTGTAATATGAGCCATCTGCCCAGTGGACTGGGAAGGGCTTGGACGGAAGGTTCTAGAAACCTGGGCATCACGTCTAGCCCTGGCACAAATTTGCAAGCATGTTAGAGACGGGATATATCGTACTTCTTTCTTGAGGCCTAAACATTCCCAAATCTGTGTTCTTTTTAGAATGGCTAATTCAAATTGTTACAGAAACTGTTAGAGACCCCAGGGTTGCTTGCTAATGGAGCAGAATGTAGGCTGCAAATTGAAGAATTCAGACCAGACTGTAATGTTAATTCACTACAGAGATTCAGGATGTAATGCCTTGAAACATGACTGGGTGCAATGCGTGGGTGAGCTCTAATTTCATTTCTGAGAATTATTTATGTGATTAATCACATTCAGAAGAAAACGTTCACAGTGACACGTTGGCACCAGGGCAGGCTGTGCGGGCAGGAATTCTCCCTAATTACTCCTTCAGTACTATTAATTGAACAATCATCCAGATCTGTCTCAATGGTCTGTGGCAAGATAATTAGCTGAAATATCCACAAACAAACCTGTAGGGTATCCTCGGTTAGCAGTGTACACAAAACTGCAGCTGGAGACCTCCCTTCCAGTTCAGAGAGCAGAACAGGCAGTGCTTTTCGTTGGGTTGGATGGGCCCTTGAAGGACATTCTGGGCATGGATATGGAAAAAAAAGGGGCTGATTTTGAAATTCAAGGCCCATATAAAGACACCTGTGCTACATGATGGCACTTGCCAAGCAGTCGATTCAAAAGTTCTGGTATTTTGTGCTGCTTTGCTCAATGAACAGAGAGGAAGTGGAAAGAGAGATCATTTCCTAGCACAGGACGTGGGCAATGTCACGTGTCCTCCTTGTTACTTAGTTTCCTCATCTGGAAAATGAAATGAACTAGATTGTTGTTTTTCAAACTTCTATTTATTTATTTTTCATTTTTAAGCCACAGACCCTTTTTTCTGACAAAATTTCACCTGGAAGCCCCAACAGAAGCACACAGGGCGGGTCTCCTTTAATTGTGATGGACCACCTCTGCTTACATGTACTCCCTGACCCCCGAGAGAGTCTGTGAAGCCTATACTTTCTTAAAGCATGTTTTTGGAAACTGTTGAACTAAATCTGTGTTTCTCAAAGTTGACTGTGTGTACAAATCACAAGGGATCTTGTTAAACTGCACATTCTAACGTGGTAGGTCTCAGGGAGGCCTGGGAGCTTGCATTTCTAACAGGCTCCCAGCTCACTGCCGGTCCACACAACATGTTTTAAAGAGCAAGGGTAATGATTTTCTAAAGTCTCTACAGAAACATCCTCCAAAATCAAGTGGAAGCAAAAATACTGAAATTCGATCTTGCTTGTGTCTCCAGCAGACCTTCCCGGGAACTGAAGGCATCGCAGACAGTCAACCTTTCAATATTTAGCTTTGATAATAAAGTTTGACCATCCAATGGAAGAGCTGTTTTTTTTTTCTTTTTCATAATTTGAAATACAAGTTCTTTTCTATTGTCCTTATTTTGTGTTGAATATTTCTTCAGTCTTAACAAATTATAAGCTGGGTTGCCAGATTTAGCAAGTAGATGTGTGAGACACCAGTTAAATTTGAATTTCAGATAAACAAGTCATTTTTTAAACTCTATTTCATGGGACATACTTACACTAAAAAATGACTCTTATTTCTGTTTTAAATTTAAATTTATTTATGTGTCCTGTATTTTATTTGGCAGCTCTGTCTATAGGGAAACACAATGACTTTGGGCTCTAGCCAATGAGACTTGCATTTTAATTAGAATAAACTACTCTTGTTTGTGCCTGTTTCTCTTTGCTTCATGAATTGTAGATCACATTTTCCTTAAAAAGAGTAACTCAAATTGATTTGTCTATCTTTTGACAAAGCAGAAAGTAGCTGAGCTGAGAATTCCAAGCAGGAGAATTCCAATTCCTTATGCAGGAAGCAAAGCCTGAGTGTTTTTTACACATTTTCTG